CTAGTGGCCTTTTTTCACTCTCTCCCCTTTGGAGACGGCCCGTACACTGTCTATGAAGTGTGTACCTACTTTTACTTTAACCTGAGCACCCGATTCCCACACCTCTTTCTTTGCCTTTCTCTTGCCTTACACTCTATGCAGTATGTATCTGTCTAAATAAATCTACCTTTACTCAACAGTGGCTCGCACTTGAATTCTTTCCTGTGCCAAGCCAAGGACCCACACTTGGCGGGGCACATCCCAGAGGCTCAACTGAGACCTGGGACACAGTCCTCCTCACGTCCCACATCCATATTCCTGCATCGCTATTACTACGAGGCCCTACATAAAAGAAAGATACTGTCATCTAAACAGAAGAGAACACAGATGGGAAAAGGGAATTCTCCCGACTGTGGCTCGTCATTCCCCATCGATGGACATTTCTGTTGTTCTTCAAGCCTTTTTATAAAAAAAAATATGCTGACAGAATGCCTGAATACAACATCTGTGGGGGGCTTTCTATGGAACTGAAAGCAAGGCAGACAGTTACACTATTCCTTTATGCTTGTTGCTGTTACCTTTCTGGCTTTATTATAAGCTCGCTCAGGACTGTCTTAAACTTCCTTTGTACCTTTGACTACATCTAAGAACGCCATGCTGAGCATACAGGAAAGGCTCAGTAAAAAGCAACCAATCAAACCACATGTCTTTGTGATAATTTATTTCTAGTAACAAGTCCTGGCCAATCAAGGAGCCATGTTATCCCAAGAGGGTAGAACGCCATCTAGTGCCTCATTATTAGACTAGGAAAGTGTTGCAGAAAATCCCAGACTGCTACTTCCATGTCCTATATATTGGATATTTATATATGCAAAAACGACTAGAAATCTTTTTATAGTTTGACAGCCTGATCTATTAATGGTAAATTCAACTAAGCTTTTATTTCTCTTTATCTTTTGCCAAGAGATTTCTGACCTTCATCAATCTCAAACGAAACACTAGTTTCCAAACAAGCTAGAGACTAAAATAACCTCATCATTGAGATAAAAATGACTGATGGATAAAAGCAAATGCATTTTGCTCTGGAAAGCGTCTTTGGGCACATCTGTGAATGTATTTTTGGTAGGAGTCATTCTTAAGGATGGAGGCAATAGGTGAAATGCCTATAGCATCAACAGCAATCAACAAGCAATAAGGAAGAATGGTTGATGAATTGGAGCCTGTGCCTAGAGAATCAGCACTGCAGTTGGATGCCTTTTAGCTTTTTGAGGTTCAGAGTTTTATCTGGGGACTTTAAGACCTGGCCTAGCAAAGAGCCCCTGGGGATGGCTTCTTAGGTTTAAGGCCCATTTTGATCTGCACTGCATCAGAGTTTACATGAGATGGTGTCCACAAATAACTTTGCTGCCAAGTGCTCTCCACCGCACCTCTAGGGAGGAGACTCTGCCTCAGCTAATTTTCAATGTGGACTCTTCCTTATAGAATCAAGTTACCATCCCAAGACCAGACTCACTCATCGATAGAAATGCCTTTGGTGACTGAGACTTAGACTCTACTCATACGTTCCTTCAACAAAATTTGAATTCCAAGTGTGCTAGATACTGTTCTAGACACTAAGGCTTTATTGGTGAACAAGATGGGAGGATTCTTGCCCGTGTGGTGATTTTTTTTGTTTGTTTGTTTTAATGGGACAAAGACAGTAACTATGTAAACAAAATAGGTAACAATGCCAGGTACTAAGAAAAAAAATAAAGCAAAGTAGGACTGGGGTGGGTGAGGGTTCTGCTATTTTCAGAAGGCTGATTAGAAAAGGCTTGTCTCAGGAGGTGACATTTGAGTTTCGGCTTACCAACATACAGACAGAAAACTGACTTTCGAAACCTAACCTGTTCAGTGTCTGTAGTTCAGTGTGGCTGAGTTTAGAGGTGAGGGATGGGGAGTAGTTTAGCCCAGGAGATGAGTCTGGAGAAGGGAGCAGTAAACAAATCATAAAGGGCTTTGTAAGCCACAGTGACTAGTTCGGGCTTTATCTGGAGGACAACGAGAAGCCACTGATGGGTTTTAAACCAGGGAGTGAAAAAGATCAAGATTATCATCTTAGAAAATCACTCTGGAAATGGGATGGAGACATTAACACTGAAGGCAGGGAAAATGGTTAACAGGTCAGTGCGATGATTCAGACAATAATCCAAATTGCCTGAATTAAAGAGGCAATGGGGCTGGAAGGAAATTGACTGAGGTGAAAAGGCAAGATTTGACTGCTGCAGAGTGTGAAGAGAGAAGAATGATAACAGGGAGAAAGGTGTGCTCATTCACTGAGAATGGGAAGACAGACGGTGAGACAAGTGGAGAACATGAATTCAGTTTGGGGCATGCTGAGTTTGAAGTGCCTACAGGCATCCAAGGGAATGTCGCAGGAAGTTGAAAATATAGGTCTGGGGCAGACCTGTGCCAGAAATATTCAGGTTTGGAGACAAAGTTAACTGAAACCACGAGAGGACAGTTAGGTCATCTTTGCTAAGGGAAACAAGGAAAGAGTCAATGACAGAACCACAAGAAAAACCAGCATTTAAAGGATTGGCTGCAGAAGAGCAGAGACAGTGAAGGGAGGATCAAGCAGAATGACTGATCAGAATCAGACAATAGTAAGATGTGGGGCACTGTGATTTCATCATTCCATCCGTTACCTGGCTTGTTCTGTGGAAGTCAGTCGCTTTCCCATCTTTGACCCTCTGACAAACCTTGTCTTCATTGAACAAATTTTACTGAGTCTAAAGTATGTGCCAGACACTGTTCTAGGTGCTAAGGCCACATCAATGAACAAAAAAGAGAAATGCTCTGACTTCAAGGAGCTTACGTTCTAGTGTGGGCAACAGACAATAAACACATTGAAATATTAGGAGGTGATAAATGCTATGTGGAGCAACAGCCTAGATTAAGAGGCATCAGGGGTGTAGAGAGAGTATGTGAGTATTTCCAATAGGGCAGTCGGAGTAGTCTCACTGAGTAGGTGATACTTGAGTTAAACTTTGAAATTTGCAAGTAGTTACCTGGGGGAAGAGCAGTCTAGGCAGAAGTTAACAACCAGTGCAAAGATCTTGACGTAGGAGCTAGCTTAAGAAGTTCAAGCCATGAGCAGTGCTAGGGTATAGGAGAGATCAAAGAAGATCATAGGTATGTATGAGATCAAAGAAGAAATAAGGGGGCGTCAGGTCGGATTCCACTTTTATTCTGAGAAAAATGAGGGGCTATTGGAAGGTTTTGAGCTTAAGAGTGACATGCCTAAGGTTTTCTAATGGGATCACTCTGACTGTTGCGTTTAGATTAGATGCTGAGTGGCAAAGGTAAAAGCAGGGAGACCATTTGTGGGCCAGGACAGAAGTTCAAGCCAATGATGTTGGTGCTTTGAACCAGGATGATAGAAGAACGGTTTTCTTGATGGTTTGGAAGTGAGATGTAAGAGGAAGAGTGGTCATGAACACCACCAAGCCCTGTGTCTTAAAGGAAAAAAAAGACATTGCCATCAACCAAGGCAGGAAGACTTTGGGAGGAGCAGGTGGGTTTGGGGCGGGTGGAGGGTGTTAAGGAGAGAAAGAGGGGGGAGGGACACCAAGAGCTCAGATCCCTTCATGTTAAGTGTGGGATGTCTACCCAAGTAGACATGTTAATGTTGCCAAAACATGTTAGAATTTCGGGAGAGAAGTCTGAGCTGGAAATCTATGAAGTTGTTACCGGGGAGTTGATATTTAAAGCCACAAGAGTGAATACATATTTTCAAGTGTGATAAGTGCGGTGAACAAAAAGCAGGAAAGGGAAATTAGTGTTTGTGTGCAGTGGGGGCGGGGGGGGGGTCTTCACAAAAGATGGCCAGACAAGGGTCACATGCTTCCTCTCAGAAGGAGCGATTAGTGGAAATCTTGCAGAAGGGATCCGATGCTGGAGGCCCTCGCAGAGCAGGCGCTCCGGAGGCAGAGCTGGGCCAGCGAGGCAGAGGCCTGGGGGCCGGCAGCTTCTCCATCAGTCCCGGCCTGGGGGCCATGGCTCTCATCAGCTTCCTGCCGGTTAGCATGGGGACCCGGCAGCCAAAACCGAAACTCATCTAGTGGACGGTTCCAGTTTCTCCCCAGAGCGAGGGAGTCGGGAGGACATAAGAGGGAAGCCAAGGAAGCGGGGCCAGAATGCAGATTTCATTCATACTACATAGCTTATATTTCAAACCCGATCTCAGTAACTGGTAAACTCGTAACACCAACACAATCACAACTTTTTTTTTAAACGGCAGGGGAGGCCGCAGGCTTCTCCTTTTCGCACGGGCAGCATTAAAAGCGTCACTCTGAGGTAACAGCCTTTCTCTTCAATCGCTCCACGGAACCCCCCAGGGCGGGAGGCCTCTCCCCACTACAGGTTGAAGGATGGGTCAATTCACGGTGCGCGAATCACGCTGGTTAAGCGCCACAAAAGGATTCGCAGGGCGGGGTGACCCGACGATTCTCTGTCTCTCGCTCCCATTGGCTGCGCTCGCGAGGCTCTCCTTCCGGGCTGGCTACTAGGAAGGCTCGGAGCACGGAAGCAGCCCGCCCTCCCCAATGCGCGTGCGCACTCGTGGTGGGCGCTAGCCACACCGCGCAGGCGCGGCCTCGTGTCGGCTGGAGGGGCGGGCTGAGTGTCGCGCGCTGCGTCCCGGCGCTCGGCTTTCCCTGTCGGTCCCGCCCTCCGTCGCGGCGGCGCGGTGCACCTTGGGATAGGGAGCGATCTCCGAGCGAGGCAGCAAGATGGACGCGGGATTCTTCCGCGTAAGTAGAAGCGCGGGGATCTGGGGTGAGCCGAGGGTCTTATCGGTAAGGCCCGGCAGGAGGCCTGTACTCGGGATGGGGTGGCTAGCGAGCGGAGTTTTCGAAGATCCTGGGGATACTTGGTGCTGGCGGGAGCTGCCCCCTGCCTTGCGGCGAAGACCGGTGCGCCCCTGCGCAGTCTCCTCCTCCGGGATCGTCCCCCTACGCGGCGGCGACGGTCGCCGGAAAATGGCGGCGGGAATGGGCCGGAGCGGTACCTCGCCGCCAGCCTACCTGGCGGGGCCTGCTGGCCGACTCGCGCGCCCCATCGGGGCCTGGGGCCTAGCGGACCCTCGAGGAGGAAGTCCCTAGGGGGAGGCCAGAGGGAAACCTTGAGGTGACTGGCCGCGGGAGGGTCCCGGGGAGGACGGGTTTGGAGGTGCCGCCCCAGGAGAGCGTGTTACGGGAGGACCGGAAACAGCGTTGAGCGGATTCTCTTGAGAAAGCGAGCGCCGACACCCCCCCCACTACCCCCTCCCCCCACCCGCTGGTTTAAGCCTTCGCGAAGGCTCCGGTCAGAGTTCGCGGAGCTCCGCCCAATTTGATATCCCTTCTGGGAGGGGAACTTAGATAATTTGTAGTTGGAACGTTTGAGTCTGAGACTCAGGGTAGAGGGTGCAACAAAAAGTATGCGCGTATATGGAAGTCGGGGCATGGGGTGGATCATCATCTCTCCTTCCCGCTCACTGCTCCCGTACACCCCTGTTTGTTTTTACTCGTTTGAAAGTCCACTGGAGAAAGGGTGCCTCTTGTTTCTCCTATCACCCTCAGACGGGGACGTTACCTCGTCGTAGTCGGCCCTCAGGGCCCGTACTTTATCGGGCGCATGGTGGAGCCTGTTCGTCCCCTTTTTCACACCTGCAGGAAATGAGCACCCAGTCGAGATCTAGAAGGGTGGGAAGTGACACTAATAGGACTAGAGTTTGAAAATCCTTTGCAGAACGGACCGTATAGAGACTAGTTGGTCTAAGTCAGAATCTGTATACTTATACATAGGTTGGCTCTTTCCAGTCCCTGGAGCATATAATATGCAGTTTGTATGTATGCTTTTAAAGGAAAAGTTAGAATAGGGGAAGACCAAGACTTTAGTAAAGATACCTCTTGATACTCCAAAGCTAGCATTAAAATTCCTTTTCACTTAAATTTAAATTTGCCAACTAGTTTTTCATTAAAGGCCGAAGTTTTGTTCCAAGCATTTGACTTAACTCAGCCAATCATTTGTTCTTAGGTTATGCAAACAATACTATTAATTATTTATGCAGTGATACTTTAAATTGAGAGTTTATTGAATTTTCACACTGAAATGAAGTCTCCATTTCATAACTTCCATCAAAGTATTTTGTAGTAAATACTCAATATTTCCTGTAGTCTGAATGTAATACCTTGAAACAAAAGCATATTATTTTGATTTTTTTGGTTTGTTTTGGTTATTTTCCGTGGAAAGGAGTTCCAGTAGAAAAGGAGCAAGGTGGTTGATAAATTTAAAAACGAGATTTGCTTTTAGTGTTGGTGAAAATCCGGAAGGATGAAGTTGATTGGCTTTACACTCTGCATTAAAGGATTTTAGGGCAGTTATTTTTTTAGTACACTACCAATCAGGTAATAAACTTAATTTTTCCGTTAAGATAGAATTGATACCTTTCATTTGCTGAACTTCTGCTGAATGCCAGTTGCTTTTCATATATCATTTCTAATATACACAACCCTGCGAGGTGGATTTTAGCAAATAAGGAAACAACCTCAGAGAGGTTAAGTAACTTGCTTTGAGGTCATATGGCTTAAATAGTGGCAGAGTTGGGATTCTAATCAGGTTCTTTACTGTCATGAAAGAATTTTCTTGATCACTTTCCAAGGGACAGTGGCCAACTCCAAACCAATCAGTAGATTTCATATCACACCCAGTTATTTCCTTATTTAATTGGGCCGGTAGGAATGAAACGCAGACTAGTGATTACTTGATGGTCTAATGTAGTGTTTGTAAGCTCTCATTTTTCCCACTTCTTTACAACAATTGTGTTTATTAAGGTAAACCTGTATTTTTCATGCATTCCAAGTTCTTGAAATTGTGAAAACACAACATAGTCCCCGGGTCTTTTTTCCTTTTTCTCCTGTTTACATCTATTTTCACAGTAATTTTACAAGTGTATTACTGGCTTTCAGAAGAGGATAAAACTTAATGGTCTTGTTTCAGAGTATATATTATAGTAAATATTTTAATATGTTCTTATTTAAAAAACAAAAAACTATAACTGTCTGTTATAGAAAGAAGTATAAAAAGATACACATCAAACTTAGTTGTGGGAGAGGTGTTAGATTTATGCTGTGTTCTGCTATATTGTTTAACTTGTTACAATGAGCATGTATTTTGTAATTTTTAAATACAGTTTTCAAAATGTTAGCTACGTTGGGAAGAGTATGCACTCTGCAACTATGAGTATAAGTTATGGTGGTTCTGTTTACTTGATTATCCTATTTCGACTGTAAAGGTCATGACCATCATTAGCTGATAAAAAAGCAGGAATTTAACTTTGAGCTCTTAATTGAAATATGTTTCTCTTCCTGCAGGGAACAAGTGCAGAACAGGATAATCGGTTCAGCAACAAACAGAAGAAGCTCCTGAAGCAGCTGAAATTCGCAGAATGCCTAGAGAAAAAGGTATACTTTTGGATAAACTGTTTTCCACCTTTGC